GGGTTTTTTTTTTTTTTTTTTTTTTTTGAATAATCATTTTAAGTTATGATGTTTCTGTTGAAAGTTTTGTTTGCTTTTGAAAAGTTCTTCCGACTTTTTTACCACTCGTCTTTTTCTCTTTTTGTTTTCGAGTATTGGTAACAGGATTTGGATCCCAGCACGTATAGCCCAGAGAGTTTTTAAATTTATATCTTGAATGAACTTATCATGTAATAATGACTTTTATATGCACTTTACTGTGATAATTTAGTCTGAGTGTTCTTGATTCTGTTGATTTAATTGAGCGTTCTGTGTTGAGATTAATTAATTTTTATACAAAACTCACTGCTTTCTATTATTAATTAGCCGATTCTATATGGTTCTTTAATAAGTGATTCTGGAGGGGCCAGACCTCGGCACCTGGTCAATCACCGAGGAGCTGACATGATATTCATTGTATGCATAACTGTTAGAATAGTTGGGCCTTTTTTTTTTCTTTTGGTTTTTGGCTTTTTCCAGTTTGAACTCAACCTTTTTCTCTTTATTATCATTAAAATAGATTCTCCTGTTTTGCTTTAGAACAATTGAGATATTACACTATCTGAAGATAATATATAGGAATTTTCAATGGGTTACAGTCACAGCTGATGATCCATTTCTTGGAATGACTTTTGTTCTTCACTCTGTTTTAGCATCAAAGTGGCTATGATGTTGTTCTGTGCAAAGTTTATGTATTGCTCTTCCTGTTAAGCTCAGTTTCTTTTCTTCTTCATCTTCCATTCACAGAAATTTACCAAGTTCTAGGATTTCTGTTTCAATAAATTGATGTTTTATGGCAGGTTTGCTTAGGGATAGCTCTTAGCTGCTGACTGTCGTGTGCTCATGCTATCTTTCACGAAGTTTAATTCTTTTGAAGGTCCTTTGCCTCCATGATTTTTGTAAACTGAGAAACTGGGTAACAACATTTTCTTTTGTCTTGTATTCTACTTGAAAGTTCTGCATTTTTATTACTGATCTTATGTTGTTTTGTAAAGAAGAGATTATTTTGATCTTTATCATTTTGGTACTATTTACACAATTTGTTGTTCTAACATGCATTTGTTATCATGTATCTGCAGAAAGTGGTCTTCATTTACCATTCAATGACAAGCCCAAATTGTGTTCCAGAATCTCTCGAATGCAATTACAGTAAGTTGCAACATCGGGTCATGAGTAACTATCCAATTGGTCTCTCTTGTCAAGAGAAGATAAACCAGGAGGATTCATCTCAATCTTCATGTTTCTCTAGTGATGGGAATAGTTGCATGACTACAAAGATTAATGGCTCGTCTGTGGGTTGTTCTGTGGATAATGCTGATGGCATTAGTGCATTTGCTGCACCATCCAATATGAAACCCTTATTCTCATATGTGGACAAAAGTGTCATGGAATGTCAAATGTCAAAAACGATAGTTTATGACAAAGAAATTAATGTCAATGAAGTGAAGGATATCTGCATTGATGAAGGGGTGACTTCTTTGGACAATTACTTCTTTAGGAGTAAGGACGAGAAGTCGATCTGCAAAATCGTGCCTCTGGAGAAAGATCAAACCAAAGGATCTGTAAAAGAACAAGAGAATTCTTCTGAGATGTCCAAATCCATAGCAGATTATCAAAAGGTTTCTTTAGAAGATCACTTTGCCATGGACTGGGCTACTCATAATGATGCGAAGGAAACAAAATCCAATCCGAGTGAGCCGAAAGTTTCGATGCAAAAGCTAGTTAAGAAAGGTTACTCTTCCGAATCTTTCGACAACAAAGGTGTCCAGGTATGCATATTTCTAGCCAAGTTATTAATCATGTCCTTTTGCACTTCTTGTTTGTTGTATTTTTAGTTTGCATATGTTGAAGATGGCTTTGAATTATAACTAATGCAATAAATAGTGGAATTCAAATGGGTACCTTCAGTACAATGGCAAAGCAATTTTAACTCTAGTGGCTCAAAACTTCTCATGTTTGATGCTTCTTAGAATTGGTTGATGTAGATTGAATTTCTTTTGATTGCAGATATCTGGTGAAAAAGAAAAGTCGGATGATCCCGATTCGGCTTCCAAGTCTGTTGAATCTTGCAATAGCAATTCTGCTCTGGGTTCTACAGCAGAACCACCAAAAGATGTCAACCGAACACATCAGTCAGCTTATAACAATGAATCTGAGAATGGAAGTATTGCATTTAATTTCAATCCGATCTCTCCCGTGGCCAATGGTGCAGAAGAACATCATGGAAATACCAACTTAAACAATCCTGCACCCATAACCAGCAGTGCAGGGACACAGGAGTGGCGTGGAAGCGATTCGGGAACACAAGTTTCAACCAATCTGGAATGTAGAACATCAGATAGTCGACTAGTTTCAAGTCAGTCCACATATGACATTGGCGAGTCTAGTTTCTCTGCTGCAGATCCATTAGCTAGTCTTATTACTTACTCGGGGCCTGGAAGCGTCTCTCTTCGATCGGAAAGTAGCACAACAAGCACACGTTCTTTTGCCTTTCCCATGTAAGTCGCAATCTAACTTCACCTCTCAAGATTCTTCCTTCCCTATCCCTTTCTAAATTATAATTTAAGGTAAATTATATTACCTCTCTGGTTTTATAGATTGCAGTCTGAATGGAATAGCAGCCCGGTTAAAATGGTAAAAGCTGAACGGAGGCATTACCGTAAGTATAGAGGTTGGAGGGAGGGCCTTCTATGTTGCAGATTTTGATTGGTTTGTTGCTATCTCTCGAGTAAGATTCTGTTTGTGCATCATCCAAATTTATTTTTACACACATGTAAGTAGATGTATTATTTACTGGAGGCTGTGCACTTCATTCATAGTTATTCTTTACAGTTTGGCCTATTATGTGAAATTTAAGGTATTAGTATACCTTATCTCTCTCTCTCTTTTTCTCCCTGAAAAATTCACCAGTCGGCCATGTTTCTCCTATGCTTGTAAACCATGGTTCCTTCTTGTTACCAATCACTCATTTGTAGGGCTCTTTGATTTATACAAGGATGGTATGACATGGTTGGCCATGAAAATGGATAGAAGTTTTCTTGTTCTTCTAAGACTGGATGGTTTTCTTTTGTAATAGCCTAAGCCCATCGTTAGCAGATATTGTCTGTTTTGGTCTGATATGTATCATTGTTAGCTTCACGATCTTAAAATGCGTATACTAGGGAAAAGTTTTCACACTCTTATAAGAAATGTTTCGTTCCCCTTTCCAACTGACGTGGGATCTCATTTCTTTGTTGATGAAACTATTGGGTTGAGCAGGATTGAATCTTGACTTGACTGCTAGAGAAGATTGGAAATTTGAAAACCAAACCTACCTGAAAACTTCAGATGAAAGTCAATTAGAAGAAAGGAACAGAAAAAGAAGAAAGCACACTAAAGCCTTATTTAAAGAATTAAATGAAACCCAAACTAGCCATTTCATTAAGTGTGATTTGATTCCTTTTAGGTTATTTGTCTAAATATATCAAAGTAGTGGGTGAATTTGAAGTAGAAGAAGAAAAGGAAAAAGGAGAAGACAGGGAAATGGAGGAAAGTGAATAAACATGCAACAATGGTGAAGTGTATAGAATCAATGCAATATCATTGTGACAAGAAATAAAGCTAACTTGGTGTCATCATTGGTTGAGAAAACCTTTTCATTTAAGTTGATGCATTTTTTAAATTTCATGCTAATCTATGGGTGACTTTGTGCCTACTTTCTTACGACCTTCATTTATCATTTGCAATCAAATCAACTTTATATACCTATAAATGTCATTTCACATTTGAGATAGGGGTGAGATCCAACATTGCTTAGAGAGTATAACGAAACATTTGTTATAAGGACGTGAAAACCTCTCCCTAACAGAACGAAACATTCATTATAAGGATGTGGAAACCTCTCTCTAGCAGACATACAGAGTTTGTTCTACATTCTTATTCTTAGTAAGTTATTCTTTGGAAGATGAGACACTTTCAAGAGATGTCTCTGTTAACTTCCATCTTTTCAAGCACATCAATTGAAAAAAAGTAGCATAGTTAATCATTTCTCGATTCAATTGTAAATCATAAAATTCATAGAGAATCACATAGAATAAAAAGATGTATTATGAAGGGATTTAACAGCAAATGAATTTGTTACTATTGGTCAATGTTGTTCATACAATTTGTTTGGTTAACAAACCCTTAAATGATTGGCATGAAGTTTCATAGAATAATGTACATTGCAGGGGACAATGTTGAAACCTTCAATCAAGAATTTATACAATATGAAACATGTGACATCAAAGGACATGAATACCCTAGTGAATTAAAAAATAGAGACCTTTTAGCTATGTGAGCCTCGATTTTTAGATATTACGACCTCCGAATCGATTTTATTTCAATTCTAAACAGAGAACGAGTTTCTTGGTTCAAGGTTCAAACATTCGGATGATCAATTCTAAACCCTAGAAATTGCAAAATGGATCAAATGCAAAAATCTATTTCATCATCGGTACAATTTAATGGTTGAACTTAAGACAGACTCGAAGAGAGGAATATATAAAAGGGATCTATATTTTGCATACTCTTAGCATCTTCCTTAGCATCTTCCTGAGTGAGCAGTAGCAGAGCTTCAGCATTTGCTTCATTTAGAACTGCCCAGAAAGCTCAGAATCTCAAAGGAATTGCCTGTAAACACAGATTCCGGCCCTCATTGGTCCAATTCTGTTGCAATGTTCTTATGATCAGAGAAATTACTTATAGAAAAGGGATCAGATAAGCAATTCACAAGATCAGATAGTTTAATCTTGAAGAATATGTAACATTGAGAGATTAGAAAAGGGAGAAATCAGTAGAGACAAGCAATATAGTAAAGTGGAAATAAAAAGCCCTCTTTAAAGCTCTGTTTGAGAGGTTCCCATTTATATTGTGATACAACTACAAACATAGAATACAGAGCAATGGAAACTGGAGAATTTGGAACTGAGTACCAAATTTTAACTTGGATTTCCTAACACTGATGGTTATAGCAATATGAGCTTGAAGAAATTGTGTAAAATGCCAAGCAAGATAAAAAAAAAAAAAAGAGGATCTGTACAATAGACATCACATTCAGAGATTCACAATAAAAACAGTAACCGTGCGGTGTGCGGTGTAATAAACCGGGGACTCAAGTTGCCAGATCATCATGTTCTTAGCCGCTTTTTCACTTGTTCTGAGTCATCTCCACTACCCAGGTCCCCTACGTGTGCCATTGCAGGGTGGCCGGAGGAGGAAGGGTTGCCAGTTTCCTGGTCAGAAATTGGAGAGCTTAAAACAATATGAATGACTAAGGATTTGGTGGTCTTAACTGTTGCGTTCTATGTTTTCATGTCAACATTTTTGTCACAGCAAGTTTCTCAGATTGAATTTCTAGTTTCGTTTCCGACATTTGAAGTTACTATTATAGTTCTCTAATTTCTTGCCTACTTTCTATTACGATGAGGAAAATATCAGGAAAAACACGATATCGAACCGTACACCAGAAAATCAAGAACTGAGATTCCAAGTTCATACCTTAAAAATGGGCATTCCAAATGGGAAACCTTTATTTGCTCTCTTTCCAAGATCAACCTGAATGGAGACACTAGCCTGTGACAAATCCAGTCCAGTATTCTGCAGAGCTTGAGTCAAGCTGTTCAATAACCTGCTTAGCACCAAGTTCCGGAGCTGTTACCAAATCCTAGGAAGAGACCATGCAAATGAACGCCTCCAAAAGCAACTATTCAGACATCCTATATGCTGGGATTTGAACAAGCTCTACTAAAGGTCAAATCATTATTATAACTATCTTTATAAAATAGGAAGAAACTTCATCAAGAAATATCTAAACCATGTAGTACGACAATACAATGGATATGAAATAATTGCTTAAGTTTTAACATCTATATAGCCATTGCAAAATCAAGCCCTAGAGTTAAAATTCCAACAAAATTGGTGAAAACATCATTCCAGGTATCTAGATGTCAATCGTTCTAAACACTGAAATAAAAAAATAGATAAAGCAACAATTAAGAGACGCAAACACTTCAAAGAGGCTTTGAATTTCATCCTGTGATGAGTATCCTCCACCAAAGACACCACACTCCCCCTCCCGTCCAAAAAAAACACTAATATTAAATGTTAGGATATGTGTTTATAAATAATTGGTGCATGAACTTGCCAATGTAAGATAAATATGTGAAATGAATAAGCAGTACACGATCAGAGTGGTAAAAACAAGAACGAATTGTAAGACAAACCATAAAAGCAGTGGAAACTCGATGGTTCTGTTTCGAACTTAGCAGGATCCAGGAGACAGTTATGCGGTTTAAAAAAAGTTAGATTCTTTTTTTAGTAAAAAATATGCTTTGTATATTTAAAACAATTGCAGTAAGAAAAACGAGGTGAATATAAAACTTCTGTGCTCATGTTATCTCCATAACCTATCAAAATACTTGAAACAAAATCAGTATATATATATCTTACAACTGACCCTTCTGAATAAAGACTTGAAATGCTTATTGTACCCCCTTCAATGGCCATCTCTTCCGGTTGGCTTGATGCATTGTTGGCGATGGGACACTCCGTTGCCTGTCCACTGGAAATTGGAATCTGGAGAGATTGATCAAGAACACCATCACTACGGATAGAAGCATGTATATTTCCTTCCAGAGACATGGGAAGTGGAACTTTATTTGTTATGTCAGCATCCTGCAGAACATCTCTGCCTGAATGGGAGTCGAGGGGATTTTGTGAGCTTGCAAGCATGGCTGGGGAAATTGAAATGTTGTTGTCATCAAACTTCCCTGAATACGTTGGTCCTGAAGCAGAACCATTTTTTACAGACTGTGGATGACCAACAAAAGTCTGCATACGCCAATGACTGTTTCTCTGCATAACACAGTAAAGTTCAGAATATTAAAGAGAGAATTTCCTCAGCAGAACAAAATTCCCGATTCAAAGAATTATACACATCCTAGATGAGATTAAGCATCAACCACTATCCAATGCAAGCAAATAAGGTCGAAAGAAAGGTGAAATTTATCGACTTGCACATCAATGTTGGACTTGAATCATAGAATAGAAACAGACATTATTACTTGGAAAAAAAAAAAACATTATTAAGACCTTAGTGTAGTTAGAGAGCCCTGAGTTCCTCTCTGATGTAGGATTACTTGGTTTAATAGGTTCGCAGTTTCTTTGTTTATTGACTGTGGGAGTTCTTAGTAATTCTTGCGGCCATCTAGCCAACTTTTGAAAGGAGATTTGATGAAAATGTTGCCCTTCTTCTCTGTAATAATTTAGAATTGGTTGGTTAGGAGGTGGTTGAAGGTTTCTTGCTTGTTCTTGTTGTCTACTTGGATTGTGCGGTTGCTGTATTCCAGGGTAAGTGGGTACTGCTGCGTTAGAGCCTAGCTGTGGGTTATGAATTGGCTGAGTGGATACACTGTTCATCTTCTCGGTTAAAGCCACCACCATTTGGTGAACCTCCAATTGGCTATTTCTCAATCCTTCAATGGATTCTTCCATACTAAGGAGTCGTTGAGAGATTGTTTGCGGGGTGAGAATTTCAGCCCCTTCACCAGTCTGATCTGCATCAATTCCGGAGGTGGTGGAGTTCTTTCCCTAGCCATGATAGTCTCCTCGTCGAGGGGCTCTGATACCAAAACTAGTGTACAACAAATCTTGGAGAATTCTTGAAATGAAACTCAATTGAATAATACCTCTTAGAACCTAGAGACCTCCAATAAAGGCTACATACCAGCCTTGAACAACAAACTAATACAATCACCAGTGCTACTTAAAAAATAAAGAATTCCTACAGTGAATAAAGCAACTGGAAACCTATTAAAGAACTCAGAGAACTCCCAGAAATCATCCAGATTATCTTAGGTATAAATGGAGCCTAATACCTAATATAATGAACAATTTAGGTCGAGATATTAGCAAGATATTTGCAGTTTAGTGGGGTTTTGAAGGATTTTGAACCCTGTGACTCTTGGATATGTACAATCCGAAGTCTTTACCTTTATACCCAAACTTCCTTTTCCCTCGAAGTTCATGT